TTTATATCAAATAAAAATATTTTATAATGTTTTAATACAATTCAATTACGCAAACTCATAAAGTGGTGAATTTAATTGATATTTTTGTAGGAAACAATGGATTAAATTGTAAAATTTTAAAGTTGGCAGACCGTTTTAATAAGTGCAAGAAATTCAGTGACTAAACCCATGATTTGCCCATTTTTATTTTGGAGAGAATTATAAATCTCTCCGCCGTATGTTCAGCAGAATATTTTCTTAGTTTTCCCTCTCCAACACCCCTTCTTTCAACTCCGATCTACTCGTCGTCCGACCTCCGATCGACGAACCGAAACACCATCGTGTTCGTTGTCGACCGAGGAACAAAACCCCTCAAATCTTTCATCGTGAATCGTCACCGTTCGTCGTTAATTTCAGTCGGAAGTATCGTCGGTAATAACTCGATTTTAGTTGGTTTTTAGTTGATTCACGACGATCCGGTCATCCGTTTACGACACCTCCCGCACCATCGTGTTCCTTGTGCCGTTCCGAGTTCGTCGGTATCAACCTTGGTCTCCGTAGATGGCGGCGCGTGAGGAGGTGAAGCGGTCAAAGTTTCTGATTTGTTGGAATCGAGCACTCCACCGTTCAAATTTGTGAACCGAGCTTTGTAAATGCCTCAAAATCGCTTAAAATTATTTTTAAGAATTTTTTCGTGATTTTTAGGCTGTCGGAAGAGGTTTGACGGGTTTGAACGATTTTGAACCGATTTGACCGGTTCCGACCCAACCCGTTGACCCGACCCGACCCGTTGATCCGACCTGTTAACCGTTGACCACTGTTAACCAAAACTTTGACCGGGCATTAAACGACCTTTGACTTTGACCGAGTATACCTATCCTGACGTTTTTCGACGTTCCAAATCCGATTCCGCAGTTCGTTTTTTGAAATTCGGATCCGAATGCCTCGAAATTATCAGTCAAACCTGTTGACTTTGATTTTGACCAAAAATTTCAAATTTTTGAAAAGTCATATTTTATGTTTTCGACGTCCTGAATCCGAATCCGAAGTCTGTTTTGCCAAATTCGAACCCGGTAAGCTGTTTTTCACTGATTTATCATCCGATTCGATTCGTTTTTCAGAATTAAGCTCTGTTTTTTATGTAATTTCTGTTGATATGGATCCGAGGAAATATTGGAAGATGATTTCAAGTTCGAGTGCGTTCGAATGGAATTTAATGGTTGATCAGTATTGCATGAAAATCGAGGTAATACTTTGCTACCTCTTTATGCTTTATGGAATATGTTTATATTGGTAAATGCATGAATAAGATAATGTTAGTCACTTTTGTGGAGTTGAGTAATTTATACACTCAATATGAATGTGGTAGAAATTCTGTAACTGAATACGGATCAAATGACTAATATAAGAGATTGAGGAATTGTTATAATTAAATTACAAGTTTGTGATTAGTGATAAAGAAATCAACAATGGATTTGTAACTTATATTTTATATAATCAAAGGTTAAATGTTAAAGGTACTTGGATGGGAAATTATGAGAATACTCTGGTAGGGTAAAAATACGAAAATACCCTTATGTTGTAGGATGACAAGAATTATCCCTGGAAGTTGGTTAATAACTCTGAAAAGACATATTGATCCAATATAATTACAGATGTGCATAAAAAAATAATAGTTTTGTTTAGAAAATTTGGATAATTGGTTTTTAATGCCGAAAAGGGTTTGCGCAAGATGCTAGAAGTTTGTTAAGGAATAATTTCAAGATCAGAGAATGTTCGGGAAAGCAATTGATCATAGGATCTTTAAATTATAATTATTTTCGTTAAGAGCTAATATCGAAATTATCTGGTTAAGAAATTATGAAAATTCCCGTAAGAGATAAAATAGTCCGAGTTGACCCTGAATGAGAAAGTACTTTGATGATTTGTACTTAACTCAATGAATTACGGATTTAATTGTTAAGATTCTGTCTTTGTACAAAAAAATTCTGATAACCTGTTAGCAACTTTTGAGAAGACAATTGACCTGAAAATCTCTAAGTTAAAAATAAACTATCGAGGGTGCTCTTTTGTCAGAATTGTTTGAAAGATCTGGAATAGATGATAAGTTGGAATTAATAATAGGACATAATGAAATGAAAGGATTGAAATACACCGGATATGTAAAATGACCAGAATACCCTTGTAATAAAAATGACTCAAGAATATCACCAAGCTCAGGAATGCTTGGATATCCTCGAGCTCTGAAAAGAATGGAATGAAACTGAGCACCAGAATGACCAAAATACCCTTATGACCTAGACTAAGTAGATGTTAGATTAATTAAGGAATCTAAATAAACATGGGTGTGGTACTGATCTTAAAAGCTATGGATCACATATTAAGCCGAGAAACCAATGTTAGTGTTATATCAGTACCTGAACGACATAGATGTCACTTGAATGCGTGTTTGTATTTTCAAGTTTGGCTCGATGATAGTTTTGGAAGTATCAGCTCAGCTCAACTCTAGAACGCATTCACTAGTAAGGATTTGATATTTGTTAGACAAATCGACCACGGAGACCGAATTGAATTGAACGAAAGTACAATATGTATCCAAAATTCAGAAACGTTTGAATTACCCTGAAAAACCTCGAAATAACGGGAATGGACATGACTACTAAATGAATTAGGTAACCTCAATGAATGAGGATTTAGTAAGTGATTTGGATAAGTCTGGAAACTCTGATGAGTTTTCATAGTGTACAATTACGATGGTTTATGATTAAAATAATCAAGTACGTCAGCATTACATGATATTGTGGAAGTGTGAAAATGAAATGAAGACATTGGAAGATCTATTCAGTGATGATTCCGAAAATGATCTATGGATAAGAATATTTGGTATTAAAGAGTGAATAACCTGGAAGGTTAATGAATTGACAAGTTGATAAGTATTGGTTATGGAAGCTATTCATCTGGAGGTGTTCGATAATCGGATTAATTGTCTTTGATGGTAAAGATTCTGAATACCCTTCAGATTTTGTAGAGCTTCTGAAAATTATCCGAGTAAGATGATCCTAATAAATTATATTCTGAATAACTGATGAATCTATCAGTTATTGAACTCTTTCAATAGTGATTCTAAATTCCAACATTCTATCGACATACTGAAGATCTGTGTTTTTCTGCTTGATAAGATTATCCAGTACCTCTGAATAATATATGTAAACTCTGGTGTGTTCCCTAATCATATAAATATTTTATCTGATTTCCGACTTAAATTCTGTTCTGATACATGACCTGAATTCTCTTTTGATTTCTGATATGGATTCTGTTCTGATATCTGTTCTGAATTCTGTTTTGATTTCTGATATCTCTGTTTAATGACGGAAAAATATTTTAATTGGGGGGTATTGTTGAATGAAGTATTTTCGCAGGTTCCTCGGCTTTGTGCCCAGGGCCTTACAAGTTGTGTGGGTTAGGTGTATGGTTCTGGGGAACCTACACATTATGTTGTGTTGGGATGGGGGTATATATATATATATATATATATATATATATATATATATATATATATATATATATATATATATATATATATATATGTGTGTGTGTGTGTGTGTGTGTTTTAAAAAGATCTAAAAAGTTACATGGTTTTTGGGAACACACTAGATAATCTATTCTGATCTCCTGAACTCAGTCATCTGAAATATTTCTCTGAACTGAAAGGTCATTGTCCGTTACCACATGAAATATCAGTAGGATCTCTGCTCAGCATAAAAATCTGTAAATGTTCGGAAACAATAAGGAAATATATGTTTATCTGTATCTGCACGTTCATCAACATCATCTGGTAGTTATGTATTACTGAGCTTTCCAAAGCTCACTCTGTTACTCAACATTTCAAATTAAAAGAATTGTACCAGTGCAGCTATTGACTTCAGTAAGGGAGTTCTTCCGGTGCTGTTTGCAGAGTATGATACATGTGATTTTATTTTATATACGAATCTGAAAATCTATTTTATTTTGAATATTGATAATTTTTATTTTGTACTCATAAATGATTTTATGAGTTTACAAGTATTAAAAAACGTTTTAAATTTTCCGCTATTTTTACAATGTGTCACTCCGGTGGCCCTAATGTGACACTCCAGATCTGATCGGGTTATCCGCATCGGTCTGATGGGGTTACAAAAATAATTTATATAAATAATAATAATAATAATAATAATAATAATAATAATAATAATAATAATAATAATAATAATAATACCAATACATGTTAAATGTACCTAAATTAAGGGTGCGTTTGGTTCACGGAATATAAGATTACTAGTGGGAATAAAAGATTACCGGGAAATAGGATTACTAGAAATGTTGTATTTTGAGTTTGGTTGGTTTAGCAGAAATGTAAGATTACAATGTTTGGTTAAAAGAATAAAAGATTATTGGAATGTATAATTTACCAAATTGTCTTTATTATATATTTGTTTTTTAACAAGTTGAATTCAACTATAATATTACTATAATTAATTTATATATTTTCTTTAAAAATTTTAAATTTATATAATTTATATAATTGTTTTTACAAAATTGAAAAGATAAATAGGTTTAATGAAAGGGTAAAATTTTATTTTAATCCCTGAACTTTATATAAAATTTTAATTATAGATTTTTTTTGTAAATCTAAAATAATTTAAGGATAAATTTATAATTTAACTTTCGTAGAATTTTTATTATTCAACTACAGAAGAATGATATTTTTGAAAAAAAATTAAAGACATTTTAATCCAAAACACCGGTAATCCAACAATACCTAAGGAAATGAGTAATCACATTCTCGATAATATACCTTAAAAAATCTACTATTGGTAATAAAATATTATTAAGAACTGAGAATATTAGCCAACCAAACGAGAGAATGAGGATTACATTATCCGATAATAAAATATACCTTGAACCAAACAACCCTTATTATCAGTGGCCTTTTAGACTTGTGAACTGTAGTAGTTGTTGGACTTTTTAGGCACTATCTCCTCTAGATGATCTTTCCTCTTTTTCTCTACAAAATTTTATTTTCATCTTAATTTTTTTTGGGTTTTGGGTTGTCTCTTTTGAATCAGAGTGAACCCTAACTTCTGTTTCTTTCTTTTCATTTCTTTTGGATTGAAACGATCAAACGGAGAAATGGGTTCTGAAGGATCCGGAGTTGTTGGTAAGTTTTCGATTTTCAAAGCCCTAGATTTTCCTCATATGTTTCTTAAGTTTCCCCATCTTTTATATTATCGTTGAAACTCTGTTATAATTGTTTGATTGTTGGAGCTTTGACGGGTGTATTGAATCTCTGGGAGCAATCTTTTGGGGATAATCTTCAGATTTGGCGGAGAATAGGGTTTTAGCTTCGATTATTAGTTTCCTTTTGTGTAATTCAAAGTACTGTTTCCCAATGCTTGAGAACGAATATGCTGTGTTTGGATTGATATTCAAGGTGAAACTTTTGAGAGCTAGATGAGGCTTCATTAGAAATATGTCTGGTTGGGTTTATAGTCTTGATCTCTGTTGAAAGAATTAGATATTGTAGGAATAAATCGAAGCAAATTGTAACGAGGGAAACCAAGGTCTCAATTGCTTGAAGTTTTTGTCTTAGATTTGGTCTTTTGATTTATAATTGGTAAAACCTTGAATGTGGATATAAGATGTGATTTGTTCTTTGATAAATCATGTTTTCTTTTCTGTTGAGTATATTTTGAAGTAGGCTTTAAACAGGCATCATCACCTCCTTTTCCTTGCTTAGGGCTTGTGTTACAACTTACAACATTAGCACATATGAATTAATGGAGTCGACCTTAGGCTATTTATGAGGGGAAGCGGTAGTTTCGTTTGTCTCTATATCTTGTTTATTGTTCTCATTCATGGTTAATGATGAACTTCATGATCGAAATTTATGACACAGCCTGTTCTATACTGCTTTTCCAGTATTTGACATAACATGCAAACATCTCTTTTTGTTCATTAGTTTTAGCTTTTATTTTTCGTATATTTGGGAACCGCGTTTGGTAATAATAGACTTAATGCAAATTTCAAGATTGACTTTGCTGCAATCCTTAGCTCGGGGACTCAAGTGCATTGTCTTTGTAGTGCCTAGGAATTTCAGATTGCTAGAAGAGCTTGAGAGAGGTGAAAAGGGAATTGGAGATGGAACTGTTAGCTATGGAATGGATGATGCTGATGATATATACATGCAGTCATGGACTGGGACTATTATCGGCCCACCAAATGTGAGTCTCTCTGTTTTTTTCGTTCTATTGTGCTCTTTTCTATAGTGGATTTACCTTTGTCTCTCAGTTGTGAATAAATGCAATGACGGGTGTAACTGTAACATTGTAAACACAACTTGAAGTTGATACGTACTTCTAACTCTGCCCATCTTCACAATTTAGTCTCATCATCAAGACACACATATTTGTGTAATTCTTGTGTTAGACATTCAAGGCATGAAAAAAGGTTATGGTTGAGAGAAATTATGTTCTAGCTAGAATAGGAACACTGCTTTATTTCTTTTTGTACTGTACGGTAGAATTGGGATGCAATTGACCGACATAAATACCATTTTATGGTGACAATCTGAGCTCATTGAAACATACGAGAAGAAAAGAAAAGTACTTTTCACAGCTGAAATACTTCTGTAAAAGTTGCTTAATGAGTTTCTACAAAGCTTGATGATAATTGGTCCCTATTTTATCACATAATTTACCGACTTTGTTCCAAGCACTGTTTCTGAAAAAAAAAAACTAGTGCCTGCAGACCTATTGGAGCCTCCTTGTAATTGTCACCTAGAAGTAAAACATACAGAGCTTTATGACATAGGTCTTTGGTAAAAGGAATTTTATAAATTATTTTACACAATAGCTGCTGTTGATTGTCAAACAGTAATGAGTTATATTTCCTGTTAAAACTATTCATTTCTTAAGATGAAAAATGAGATGGTAACTTGCTTATTCTTTATGCATGTTAGACTGTTCATGAGGGACGCATCTACCAGTTGAAATTATTCTGTGGCCTGGATTATCCAGATAATCCGCCAAATGTGAGGTTCCAAACCCGGATGAACATGACCTGTGTCAATGAGGAAACTGGAGTGGTAGGTGATGTTGTCTTTGGATCTATTTACTGCATCATATGATACTTACGGGTGTAAATTGGCAGGTCGAACCTAGCCTTTTCCCCATGCTTGCTAATTGGCAAAGGGAGTGTACAATGGAAGATATATTGACTCGGCTGAAGAAAGAAATGATGTCTCCACAGAATCGGAAGCTTGCTCAGCCTCCTGAAGGTGTGTATATCTCAGTTGTGATTTTCTTGCTGAATTGTAATGTTTTCGTGCTTGTTCTAGCTTCTTAAGCTCGTCTCCTTTCTGAAACGAGTTTTTACTTCTTTAGGATAGTCAAATTTTAATGTAGATCTTCTGTGCATAAAAGTTCTCTATCGGTTATGTAAATGTTTAAACCGTGATAATCTTCTCCCAGGCAATGAAGAGGCAAGCCTCGAACAAAAGGGCTTGGTGCTGAAATGTTGCATCATTTAAACTTCATCAGAGTTTGAACATAATGTATATAAAATCTATACGCCTGGTAATTCCAGTGGCTATCTTAGTACCATCAATATATATATATATGTGTGTGTGTGTGTTATGCTTTTGTATGGGAAAGATGTCCTCGTTCCCACCAAATGGTGGTTAAATAAATGGAACTTCTTAATGAACTGATGACATTCGAAAATTTATGACTTGTGCTCACTGCTGATATCGTAACATCAGTTAGCGAGCATTTTTTTTTTTCTTATTTCCTCCCTTTTGTTTCAATTTGATGTAATTTAGAATGTAGGTGAGGATAAGATGAGTCACCTTGATCTGTTTGTTCAAACTGTTAAATATTCCTACTCTTTGATATTGGATTCCATGCATCATTTCTTTTGTTGTTTCGATAAGTACCAGAGTATATATATGGATGAGATCCTATTGCTCAATGTAAAACTTTTTTAGATGAGTTAATCTTAGCCATTTATTTTAACTCATTCAATGGTTTTAAATTTGTGTAAAACTAAAAGGATTTTACAATGTGTAAGTGGAGTCTAATCTCTCTCTCTCTATATATTTATATATAAAATCAGTTTTCATAAGCATCGATATCAGCAGTGAATTATTGAGAATGAATTATGAAATGCCCATGCCCTTAACAACACATTTTCCTTGTACACCAATCTTAAATAAATAGTGACCCATTCACTACTTGTGAGTGTATGTGCTATTAAAAAAAATGCGAGCGCGCTATTCAGTCACTTGAAACCATGAATTGTCTTAAATTATTGGGATTTTTTAATGAATTTCCCTCACTATTTCATTTAAAATAAAAGAGACGTATAACGTCTTTTTGTTTCTTTTATGAGTCAGAGATAATGGGACCTATCCTAAATACAAACTTGTAGAGTTTGTTTCGTTTACTACATAAATTTTCTAGAACTAGAAAGAAGAATCCCTCACAATTGAACCCATGCCATAAATTCCTTAAACTCATCATCCCACTGAAAATTTAACCAATTAATTATCATCAAATGAAGTTGATTTTGGGGGTGAAAGATCAATTATATACAACGTAGTTTGAGTGGCATAACTTCATCTTTTGACTTTCACCGTTCAACCTCACCGACAATATCCCACTACCCATCTTCCACAATTCCATACCCAACAATGAGTCTTTCTGCAACCCAAAAAATAGTAGTAATTAATTTTTTTTATTAATTTCAAGTGATTGTAAAGTAGTATCTATTCTAAATATTCTTAATAATTAGACAATAAACACTCAATCATTCTACAATCACTGATGTTCGAGAACCCGTGACTTCTAGGAACAATAACGATTCCTTTAAACACCAAGGTAAGTTGGTTCATGCGGTAGTAATTAATTCTTAAAACACTACTTATTAATAGTTATAATAATTTGCTCATATTTCAATTTTTAGCCCTAGCCTAGGAATTATCAACCATAATATTAAATTTTAGTTATGATATCATGATTATAAATATTTACAATATAAGTTATCTTTTAAAATATTATGATATGATCATATTATTGTAGAACATATTATATGTGAATAGTAATACTGAGTATGACCCTAGGGTAAAATTGTTTGAATAATGTAGTTAAAAAACCCAACAGTCAACATAGAAAAGTAAGATATCACTATACAGTTTATATAATTTATAAAAATCATCGTATAGTCCTAACCAGTTTATTAAATACTGTAGCAATCACTTTAGTTTTAAAAAATAATTTTTATGTAACAATTTTGCCACGACCCACGAGGCCAGTGTATACCTTTTGCTTACGTAAATTCCCCTCAAAGGAAAGCTCTGTCTTTCCATATTGAAGTGGTTGCCTCTTCTTAAGCCATCGCTCACTTTGCTCTCCATCTTCTCTTTCAGACCCCTTTTTTTTCTCTCTCGCTGATCTCCTTTCTATCTTCTTTTTCCCCATGGCTTTAGCTACCAAAAAAGCTTCATCATTTCCTCTTCTTCTTTTCACTGCAATATCAATATTCTTCATGAACCCATTAAATTCTGCCATTGATACCTTTGTTTTCGGTGGGTCTTCGCGGCTCAAGTTCATTTCAGGCTCGCCCTACGAGTTCAACGTTAACTCCATACTCAATTCCCTAGTCAACTCGGCCATGTTCACCTTTTACAACAATTTCACCATCCCCGCCTCTCAGGACACCGTCTACGGCCTCTTCCAGTGCAGTGGCGACCTCAACAACGGAGACTCTGGCCGCTGTGTGGCTAAAGCGGTGAGACAACTCGGCACTCTTTGCCTTGACTCCACGGGTGGCGTGATGGAACTCGAGAGGTGTTTCGTTAAATATGATAATACGACGTTTGTGGGCGTGGAAGACAAGACTGTGGTGGTCAGAAGATGTGGGCCGTTGATTTCGAGTTCGTCGGACGAGTTGGCCCGGCGTGATGCGGTGCTGGGTTTCTTGGGAGCGAGTGACATGACTTACAAGCCGTTTCGGATCGGCGGGTCAGGGGATTTACGGGGTGTGGCACAGTGTATAGGGGATTCAAGTCCGGGCGAGTGTCAGGATTGCTTATCAGAGGCAATCCGACGGCTAAAAACCAGGGTTTTAAATTATGGGTACGGTTACGTTTTCGATCATTTCGTGTTTATCGCGATTACGTTTATAACGGGAGCTTTTGCGGCCCGTCACGGGTATTATTACGAGTGTAGCGGGTAAATCAGAAAGCGACACTATCGTTATTTCGCGGACGCTATCACACTAACAAACAACTATTTAAAACCCTGCTAAAAACAGATTGTGCGGCAGCCAAGTGCAGAAGTGTTAATCATAATTAATCAACACTTTTTGTGAGAAGTGTTAATGCAATTGTTAGCAACAGTGTATATAACAATAGTAAAGGATTAAGACAAGATATTCCCTTTGCTTCAAGTGCAAGTGAATCTTGTATCATCTCCTCCAATGCAATTGAAATGATTTCTTTTCTAAAAAGCAAGATGGATAATAAATTAGATAAAAAGGAAGCTTTAATGAAGAATGAGACAAACAAAAAGGTTTTATTTATTATTAACAAATAATGCGAGAGATCCTTTTTCATCTTCTGTCATTGTATTAATTTATGGCTTAATCAGTCATCCCTGCAAACAAAAATGAGTGATATCAAACTGCTTAAATCTAATTTTTAGTTGAAGATTTTCTTAATGGTCGTTGACATTTTCAGAATCGAAATACATTACTGGTTGTTATCGGGGATGGCCCGAGGGGGTCTTGGGTGCAATCGTACTCCTAAAAATTTCAAATCCCTATATAACTTAATAATTTTTTTTTATATTTTCTATTGATCCCTTAAAATTTTGTAACTTTACACCACTAAATTTTTAATAGTACGTTTTAAGTTCGTACATATGAAAATCATGTGTTCGTTCCTCGTCGTTACTATATTTGTTCACCACTTATTTCCGGAGGTGCTTTTGATTTTCTATAGCTAGATCAAGGGATGACCGGTGGTTGCACATATTTGAGAGTTGTTAAGCATTGAAATTAGAGGATCTCATCTCATCATTGCCGTTGATTGTTTTCCATTTAATTGACTGTTTGTTATTGTTTTATAGATGTTTTTGATGGTAATCGGGTGAGACCGTTTGCTTACTTTATCAACATTGTTGTGCATGTTCATTGTAATTGTTAGGTTTTTTATTCTTTATTAAAGTGTGTATGATATACAGATAGGGATTGATTCAAGTAGTAAGCAGTTTGATGCTTAAGTAAGGTCTCAAGTTCGAGTCATTGTGTATACAAAAAATCTCTGCTGAAAGAGTTATCCACCAAAATCATATGTACGACGTAGATCTGTCCAGATTAATAAGACAAAATCTTGAAAGTCGGAGTGAAAAAAAAAAGTAACTTTTTAAATCATGATATCTATGAGGTTGCATGATTGGTTCTTACCATTTTCTTAGTTCTAATAGGATTTCCATCCTTTTTAAAATTTTGATTTAAATTTAAATAAATAAATATTTTTTAATTTATTCCAATTTTCTCATAACATTACATATTCTATTTTAACATTAATTAACGATAATTTATGTATTTGTAACCTGTTTATAGATTAGATTATTCATTTGGTTTAAATTAAATTTAGATAAAATATATTTTAAATTGAGTTGGGTAAAAATGTGTATTTTATTTAAATTCAATTATATAATTCTTAAATATGAATAAATATATTTTACATTTTCTTATATTTTTAAATATTTTTATATTATTGAATATGCTAATTATATCAATAATTTTATAAAATTTAGATATTGTAACGAAATCATACAAAAAAATCTTAATCTAATTTTAAAATCTAATTTATAAATGAAGATATATTATGAGTACAATTTAATTAATTTATTTGTTATAAAAAATTAATTAATTTATTTTTATATAAACTTTCTTTTCTTAACAAATAAGATAATAATATCTTTTAATAATAAACTGAAAAATATTATATTTGAAAATTACTATTATTAGATATATTCTCAGGATCTCCTTAAGATCAAAATTCCATTTTAATCAGCTCCGTTGAACAATTTGCAGGTCACAGAGGAGACTTCCAATTCCATTCCCCACTACAACCGCCATTAGCATCTTCTTAAGATCTGCTTGTAATCGCCTAATACCAATAACACTTTCCGCGTCTTCTCAGGTAAGTAAGCGCAAAAATACATTTCCCCCCTTTTCAATTATCTGCTACTTTATCTTGTACATCAATCAATTTACTTCCTTTGATATCCCTTTTTTTCTTTATTTTTTATTCTCGATCTATATTACTGTTCAGTTTGTAGCTTCAAGCTAAGAGAAATAATATCCAAACAGCAATAATGTCTGAGATGAAAGACAAATTGAAAGGATTCATGAAGAAAGTCAACACCCAATTCTCATCATCTTCTTCTTCATCTGGTAAATTCAAGGGCCAAGGTAGAGTCTTGGGTTCTTCTTCCTCTGGTCCCGTTAATAATCCCACCCTTACCCGTCCCACTCAATCTCCAAAGCCTATCCTTTCTTCTTCCTCTTCCAATTCTAAGCCTGTAGTACCTTCAAAACCACCAAATTCTGATCAAGATAAGCCCAGTTCTGCCCATTATCCTGAACCAACTGACAAACCGGGAACTGGGTTTGATCCTTACGATTCATTTATCACTTCTAGCAAGGTATCCAAAAATGGGTTCACTTTAAATGTGTTTGAGTGTCCGATTTGCGGCGCTTCTTACAAGTCCGAAGAGGAGGTGTCTATACATGTAGAAACTTGCATTGATACTAATTCATTGGATAGGAAAGGGAGTGATGGTGATCCAGGATCCAATGAGAATGTGTTGACAGAGTCTAGAAGTGAATTAGAGGTTTGTGTTGGTTCATTTCTTTCAAGTAAGCCACCAGAAGGGTCAATTGAGGTGGTTCTCAAGTTGCTGAGGAATATAGTGAAGGAACCTGGGAACTACAAGTTTAGGAGGATTAGGATGGGTAATCCGAAGATAAGGGAAGCAGTTGGTGAGGTAGCAGGAGGAGTTGAACTATTGGAATTTGTTGGATTTGGATTGAAGGAGGAAGGAGGGGAAATGTGGGCAGTCATGGAAGTTCCTAAAGAGGAGCAGATTAGTTTGATCAATAAGGCAGTAATGCTGTTGGAACCAGGAAATATGGAACAATTCAAAAAAAGTGAAAATATCCCCCATGCATCTCCTGTTGAGAAAGAGGAAAGCGTTGAGCCGAAGAAGATAGACAGAAAGGTAACTGGATTGTTTGCAGATATTTCTATTATTTAATCAAATCCTCTCACTTCCCATTTTCATGTGTATGTTAGTGTATTTATACTTATAATCCTCTACTATTCATTTTGATATCTTGTTTTAAATCTTGACTGGGATAAAATTATAATCCATTATTTACTCTTTACATGGTGCGACTGACTGCTGCATATTCACAGCGTAGTGCGTGTGTGATAATATGTTTGTACGTATGTAAGGTTACGATTGGATGCAAGAATGAACCTAGTGAATATGTGTGTTTAAGATTTCAGTTTACACAGTGCGACTGACTGTTGACACATATGAGGTTACAAATAGGTGCAAAATTTCAGTCTGTTTACAGTGGACCTAGTGGATCATTGCATTTTGTTAATACAGATAGGAACATGATGAAAGAATTGGTTGGTGTGGTCCTATAGAAAGGCTCTTGTCAAATACTACTTCTATAAAGTTTCCAGAAATACTTTCGATAGGTCACCTTGATGTTATGTATGTAGGAGATCCCTGTCCTGCTACACTTCTAGAATGTTACTAAAAGAGTGAAAGATGCTTTTTGTCCATGGTTGGTGTAAATTGGACTTTATAGAGTAGTTGACAACATTGCTTTCTTTTTGATCATTTCATTCTTGCAAACTTGCTTGCCATTTTACTCCATTCTCCTTTTTATCTTGTTGAGTGTTCAAATTCAGTGATTTTGAACAATTTTATCATGATATTAGATGTTCACCCGTCTCTCATTCTTCTTAATACATTCAATTTTTTCTTGTACATTTTATTAGGTCTTGTAGTATATATCTCTAACTCAACATGGATTTTGTTATTGTAGATCCGGGTCTTTTTCTCTGTTCCCGAGAGTGTAGCTGCTAAAATTGAGCTACCGGATTCTTTCTATAACCTATCAATTGAAGAGGTGAAGAGAGAAGCAGAGATGAGAAAGAAAAAGATTGCTGAATCCCAGCTATTAATCCCTAAATCTTACAAGGAAAAGCAGGCGAAAGCAACTAGGAGAAGGTATAGAAGAACAATCATTCGCATCCAGTTTCCTGATGGAGTGGTGCTTCAAGGAGAATTTGCTCCTTGGGAGCCAACTAGTGCCCTGTACGAGGTTAGTCCTCTTTGTCTAGTCATTCATATTACTCCCTATCAGTTTCTTTAATATAGTTCAAAATGACTTGTTATATTTAAACAAATTTCAGGACCTTATTTCATATTAGGTGTGTGTCAATTCTGCTATGATCTTGTTCATAGTCTTAATTTCCCACTGACAATCTTTCAAGCAGGATACACATGTTAGACTATAACAGAGAACATTGGACTAGTTAGTTGTTGCAGCATATACAAACATTTTGCCTTTTCACATTATCCATACGAAGTCATATTTGGTCGTATTCCACGAAACTGTTTTAAGTTTTATCATGTTTTTGGGATCCTAGAATGATGACTAATTTACTAGTCAAGTCTGTTATTGTTGAATGTTATTTTGCACCAATGCCTTGATGTCCTCCTGCAGAATTAACATGTTTACCATTTTCTTTCAAAATCTTGGTGTTTGGTCTCATCCCCACCCATTTTGAGAGTGGTGGTATTCCTCGGTCTCTTTTATGGCTTTCATTATGGATAACATCACCTGCTCCAAATGTAGAGTTATTCTTTTGTTTTGAAAAGCGGGAGTAGGGAGGAGCAAGCTTCATCCCGTTACCATCGTAGTTAGAATGTGAAATGATTTCTGCTCTTTCTGGTCTTTAGTTCGTGAGCTCAGCACTGAAGGAACCCTGCCTGGAGTTCGAGCTGTTTGATCCTGTGGTGGTTAGAAGGCGGGTAATCCCTTCGTTTCCAGCAGCAGGGGAGAAAGCCAGGACGCTAGAGGAAGAAGATTTGGTTCCCTCAGCACTAGTGAAGTTCAAGCCTGTTGAAACAGATTCCATCGTTTTCACAGGGCTTTGTAATGAGCTCCTAGAGATCAGTGAACCCCTTGAGTCATCTGCTCCGGCGTAAGCTTTGATCAAAATTTCCGTATTTCTTGGGAAAATAGAGTATTACTGAAATTTTATAAGTTGCTCTTAAAGCTGTTAAATTGAATTTTGCCCACTTTGTACGGTTATTGGCGTTTTTTTCAAAGAACTGTAGATTTCACTTGTCTTGTAATAATGAATTCAATTCTCAACATTGTCGTAAACTTTGAAAAGATATGATTTTGGTGTACACAACGAATTCTATTTTATTGTGTTTGACAATTGGTGTATTTTGTCATAAACGTTGCGTGTAATATAATGTTATGCTAGTATTTAAAATATGATATTTTGTTTTAGCATAATATCAAATTTAATTTATAATGTTTTCGTGAGTTATTGGCGTTTTTAGTACATTTATCGTCCAAAGTTTTAATTTTTTTTTTCTGGTAAAAATGACCTCTACCGATGGAAATCTCTAATGATAAGCACATATTGGTAATGTGATATTATGTGTTAAATTGTTGTTATGTCACTCAAAGTGATTGTCATGCCATTTAAAAATATGATATGATATGTATTATGTCACTTAAGATAATACTACAATATATTAATATGTATCATATAGTTTAAGTGATGATATAATATATGTCACGTCAATTACTAAATATATGTAAAGATATCACGTGTTCTAATAAAAAAATTAAAACTTTGAGAGTTGAATACTAAAAAAAAAGAGAACTAGAGTGACTGTTTGAATAAACATTAAAATTAATTTTAACATTATGCATTTATTTTATACATCAACAACTTATTTTGCGCAACCTATTACATATTTATCTATCAATATTACACCGACTTTATAAGATCATAGAAATCATAATTTCCATTTTATCATGAGAATGGAGGAGCTGACAATTAATGTCGTCCATTGGTGCCGGTCATGGTTCGTGTTGATTTCCTGGAAGGTATGCACCCATGCTTCTAAATGTTACTGATTTTCTTCAAGCTAGATTATGATGGCAGTAAATAATCTGATTATGGTTTTAATTTTCTCTGTAGTTTTAACATATTTGTTGGACCAGCCAAAGGCTTTTAATTTTATACATTCAACTTCATATTCAACACGTACCTACATCATATTCATAACTGAAGGCAATCTTAAACCTGAAGATACTAAACAAAGATGACATTTTAACCACTCTTGTTCATCGGCTCATCCCTCCTTCCACCGCCGGCGGGATCGAAGTCATCGGCACTTCACCACGACTCTGCTTTTCTATATTGCCTTGCCACCCTATGGACAAATCGTAGCCACGGGTTTTCAGCTCACGGTACTCTTGGCACAAGGCGCAGTACTCGCAGAAGCAATGGACGAGGCAATCCCCGCAAGGGTGTTTCTTCAACAAATATTGCTGCCTCATTTTGGATCGGTAAAAGCACGAATAGCAACAAGCGCACCCCGTCACGCATGCTATCAGTGTGTAAAGTGCTCCATTCACACCACATGCTGCCACCACACGAAATCTCTTCAATCAGTATAAATCTATCATGTTTAATAATCAAAATCTGGGTTTTAACTTACATGATGATCCTTTATCTACAATCTCAGCAATTTGGCCAAAAGTGACGCAGGGGCACCAACATGTTATGCAGCCTGTAAGGATAATTAATTAGAAACCATTTTTTGTAAGGAGAAATGGGGTTTGAGTTGAGTTATAGCTTACAGTTTCTCCAGTCAGAGAAGCAGTCACAGAGGCCTGATGACCAAGGGACTCTAGTTTTAGTCTTAACAGTTTTGGTCGTTTGAGAACTGTCGGTGTAGTACGTGTTCGAGGAGCTGAGTGGAATCCCAGTTGTGGCGGCGGCTTCTTGGCCGAACTGTGGTGGTTGTTGTGGTGGTGAAGCTGAGAACTTTTCATAGCCACTTGGGTTGAAGGAAGCCATGGATGTATACGTGCTGCGAAAACTGTATACTATAGAATGCAAAAGTAAAGTTATTGTGGAAAATCAAAGAAAAGATAGGCAATTTGTTTGGAATTTGGATGAGGTTATATTAAGGAGAAAATGATGGGATGTTCGGTAAGTCAAGTCAACCGGGGCGTCGAACCAGAAAAGTCTTGGCGTGTGTTTTGCACTTGCAGTTGCTACGAAACTACAGATACCGTGTGGATAGACCACACTACAGGTTTGATTTGTTTAATATTCGTGAACAAATTCATTTATATGATATTAATATATTCATTTAACGTTCATTAACATATTATCCTAGTCGCTCTCTCCTCCCTCTTTTTTTTTTCTTTGAAATGGTGTCGTTTTTATAGATCAAATCATTTTTTTTATTTTGTTTAGCGGATGACATCGGCTTTGATGTTGCTTGTTGATTATCGATTTTCTTTTTTCTCTTTTTTTTTTAATTTTGCAATGAGAATAATTTTACCTTTGTGACATATTTTTTCGTTGTTTTTCTTGGTTGTTTGGTTGTTCTTTTATTTATGTTTTTCAGGGATAGAATTGACGATCACATGACTGATCAAGATGACGCTTATTTGAAATCTTGTTGATCTTCCCTACTATGGACATTCGGATTGAATTTGGATGCGTGATTATGCGTTCGTTGATAGTTTCTCATGACATTATGCTCTGATTTGTTGTTCTCTGTGATCTTTCAATAGCTTAATTCTATTTTGTGGTTTGTTTGTCGATGCAATAAGATTTGTTTGTATTTATTTTTGTTCGAATATTTTTGTTGGATTTTTTCCCTTTTGATTCTTATATGATCTAAAGTGGTTAGTTTCAATATTATAAGAAAATATGCAAATTATGTATTTAGTTTACAATTATAGTTGTAAACTCTTATTGTAATTTTGAATATTTTCACTTTTTAATAATACTAGAGACTTCTATTAAAAAAATATTCATTATTCATTTTGTGTTTGCGAGTATGTTCATTTATATGATTTAAGTACCTTCTATAATTAACACTCTCCTTTTATTCTTTTATCTACATGCTAAATGTTTCAAATGTAAAAAAAAAAAAAGAAAAGAAAAAATTGAAAAAACTTATAAATGAGTCAAACAAATTTGTTCGTAAAAATAAATGAATCAATACATTTATGTTCATGTTAATTAGTTAATTAAATAAACACAAAAATTGTATCCATACACATGTATTTAGTTTAATAAATATACATAAAAATCGTTATACGAACAATTCATTTAATATTGTTCATTTACACTCCTATTTATTAGTTAATTTATTCTTTCTTTAATTAAATTTAGTGATAATAAGATTATGGGAGACAAAATAAGAAAATTCATGTAAAATTGTTTGTTGGTGATAATTTTAATTAAATTTTAGGGTAAAATACGTAAATGGTCGTTAATGTTTAAGTAAGTGTTCGTTTTCACCACTGATGTTTGAAAAGTCACAAATCGGTCAATAACGTTATCGTTTGTTACAAAATGGTCACTCAACGTTAACAACCGTTACTATGTGTGACGAAAAGCTGATGTGGCATGTTAACCGCCTATAACAATTGTGACTGAATACATAGTTGGACCGTTTAAAGCTTACTTGATTATATCTTTCCTCAAAATTTGTTTTTTCCCATGTTGTTTGTCTTGTCTTCTACCTTTATTATATATAAACACTCACTTTTCTTCTCTTATTCTCTGCACAATGGATGCTTTAAAGTTTTCTTCTTTCACTATCTCATTGTGGGTTCCCTTTTGTTTTAGTAATTTATTATTTATTCATTACTTGATTCTTAAGATCTGAGTAAAACCCACTAAAAATAGCTCTTACGTAGTGGCCGAAGGAAGAGAAGAAAGGGACATCGGTGGTGGTGAAATAGAGAACTCGAACTACTTTGTGGTGGAAGTAGACGGTCTAGATGTTGCATTTCGGCCGGAAGAGAAAAGCATAGACAAAAACGCGAAGCAAGTGACTTGGGTTTTGCTCCTCAAGGCTCACTGTGTCGTTAGTTGTGTCACTTGGATCTCTTCGTTCTTCTGGGCATTACTCGGAGCCATCAAAAAATTGCTAATTATTAGGCAAGATTTCGCAATGGAAAGTGAAAAAATGGGGAAAGGTGTAACAGCCTCAATACTGGGTTAGTGACTAAATTATAAAACTTCAGAATTTGGTGACTAAAGCATAATAATTGAATAGTATTGTAATTGGTATAGGGTTAAATTGCAAGGAAGAAGGAATAGAAAGGGTAAAATGGTCATTTGCATGGGAAATAATTAAATAATAGATATATTTATTTTAGCTACACGTGGAAAAAGGAAGAAAAACATAAGCTTCTAGAATTCTCTTCTTCTCTTATTTCCTCCCAACGTGAAAACTCATAGCAAAGGTAAGATTTCTTATAAGTTGTTTGTTAGTTGAAATTTAAGTTTGGTTTTGCTCCTTAGATGCTAATTAAGCTTAAGGAAAGCTTAGGTTGTTGTAAAACAACAAGATGAAGGGTGTAGGAAGAATTAAATATTATGAGTTCTTAAAGGGAATTTTGAAATAGAGTTCATACTTGAAATTGGAGGTTGAATTTGACTTTTCATCGACTTAATCAAGGAATATGAAGTGTTAGAAGTGTATTTAGAACATATTGAAATTTGGGTATGATTCTTGAATTATATATGAAGGATATGATTTTGAGGTTAAAAATAATTTTCATGGATATAAGTTGGTTTAAGTAATGATGGTTGGGTTTAATGACATGATAGGGGTTTAAAATAGAGGAATTGAGTGAAGAATTGATGATTTTCGGGGTTAAAATGCAATTTCTGGGTTGTGTGCATCGATGCACATTCAATGTGTACCGATGCACTTTTAAATAAAGAACATCGAATGCCATTAATGCATCGATGCATAAGGAGTGCATCGATGCACCTATTTAAAATATAAACATTGAATGGGATTTATGCACCGATGCATAGGTAGTGCACCGATGCATAGGTAGTGCATCGATGCACTTGTCAAGGGATGCATCGATACATGGTGTAGTGCATCGATGCATATCATCATTAAAAGTTGGAAATAGCTTTCTTTTTAGCCCAAGGAGTGATAGTTTAGAATATATTAATTAATATATTGATTAGTATCAATGTATTGCTATGTAGATATAAAACATAATTTTGTTCCGGAACAAACAAAGGATTAGGATCAAGTTGAAACAAGCAAGGCCAATGTGAGTGCATTTTATAGTTAAAGTGTATAGAGATAAGACTTGTGATAAGTCTATCTCTGATAGTTGAATTCATGATTTCATATTCATGTGCATGCATACATGTATTATTTTTATAGTGATTTCATGCAAAATTCATTATGCTTCAATATTATATTATGTGAACAAATGCCCTTACAAGAGAAACAATCCAGGTATGTGGATTAATGGAAATGATTATATGTGTTTATATGAAAAGTGATGAAAGAAATATGAAATGAAAAATGTATTCATATTTAAGCCATATTATATGATACGAGAGCTATAGGTATAATTGGCATGCCAAGAGTCGAGGGATAATCAGTGGTCCTTCGGGGTATAGTGGTTCTTCGGAACAATCAGTGGTTCTTTGGGATAAATATTCAGTGCCCCTTGAGGGAATTATACGAGCTGTGGTGACAGCATAGTGCACAACCTCTATGTACTCACATACCTTTGTTCTCAATAATGTACATGGGCAATTCAAAAATAAATTAAAGTGGAATTGGCATGAGAATGTATGTGTTATATGTACATGTTATCAACATATATGTTATAGTGTAATAGATACATTAACATTGAAATGTCCTGATTCATGGTAAGAATGTATGTTCATAAATTCATGGTTAACTTGTGAATACATACATTTATGTTATGCCTCACTAAGTCTGTGACTTAGCGTGTAAGTAATTTACACGTAGGTACCAAGAATCAGGAAGAGCGGAAATAGGGTGGCAAGAACAACAGTACTTCTAGCGGATCAGATCAGAAGTAACTGATAAAGTATGTATTTTGTCATGTATAGTATGTTGGCATGTAAGTAAAGTGTCAGTTATGAATGCTCTGATCGATTTTGGTTGTTTTGGTCAATCCATGTAAATAAACCGCTTTTATTTTAATGAAGGTTTTAAATTTCCCTTGAATTTTGTCAAGAGTCAAAGTTTGAAAAGTCAATGTGACACCTCATACTCGTATTCGGGTCGGATATGGGTTGGGGGTATTACAAAAGGTGTAACACCCAAATCCAAGTAAACGAAAACCTAAAGGGTTTGAGCATTACATGGGACCACCGGAGTTGCTAACCCATTTCTTTTTTTTTTCAAATAGAACATTTCTTTTTACAACATAAAGTTCACCACATTCAAGTTAAAACAAAATATTAGTAGTTAGGTTTACAAATAGAGAAGCTCTCAAAATAATTTATCAAATACAATAATCCAATAGTTATGACTCGAAATACAAAAGGGTCTATGATAATACATGCCCACTAAAATAATCAAGACATACTCTGCTACTACTGATATTTGAAACTTGAAGTCTGGTGATACGCTCCCGAGTCCGACACCTACTAACCTGTGAACGGAAACTATTTTGAACGCTGAGCTACTCCATTATACTGTATGCATCCATTAACTATGAATACTTATCAAGTTAAGTCATGATGCAACATAATAAAATAAGCATATATCATAACATAAGGATATGATTTATAGTATCATGAGAATCATAATATAATTACCCTTATATAACGAAAGTTACTTAACACTAATACTAAAATGTCGCAGCATTGATACAAAAGTACATTCACACTGAATCTAAAGTGTCATCGCACTGGGGAAGAGAATTTGGATATCTCTTCTCACATATTCGAATGATATATATATACGCTCGAGTAACCCGGGTACCTAGTTGTTTCATGAGCGTCAAACAAAGGCTAGATTTATGCCATACAATTTAGTGCTATTATTTATAAGGGTTTCAAAAGTTATTACCACTTGTGGTCTTATTTAAGAACCCTCGATATG